TTCTGGTAACATTATAAACATATGTAAACCAAAGCACAGATGAGCGAATAACAAATGAAGATTTTTTTCCAAAATTATCTATTAACTTGGAATTTATGTTTTAAACTTAATTAAGTGACACAAACAAACTTTCTTATCTACTTATTAACTTTCACCCTTACCTGCATACAAAATAACAAAAAGTACAGTAAGTTGGTAGATAGAATGACCAATGATATTTTTCATCATAGTGCGTGAAATAAGAGCTTTCGTCCTGCCATATGGTTTACGCTGCAATAGTTCCTCTGTGGGCATCTCTGTTGCCAGGGCTAAAGACGCAAGAGTGTCCATAATAAGATTGACCCATAACATCTGAATAGCCTTGAGTGGACTGTCCTGGAGATACAAGAACAAGAAGCGCCATCTAGTAACCATGCTGTAATTACCTATTATCATTCACTGCCAAGGCTAAGCAAACAACCTATTAGCAAGATCTTGTCATAAACCAGTCTAAACTTGGTCTACAGTAAAAACTTGAAAATTTCTTCACTTTAAAAAATTATTTTAAAATATCCAACACTCCCATATTAGGTGACAAACTTTTCAAAATTATGAAGAGGCCCATTTTCAATTTCAACAAAATTTTCTAACTGATAAAAAAAAAAAAAAAAAAAAAAAAAAAAAAAAAAATGTGTTGCAGAGAATCTTCTTCCGACAAAATTTTCAAGACCGACTAAATTTTCAAGTTTTTATCGCAATGTATTCACAAGGGGTTAGGGCCACAGCAACTAATAGATCAATATATAAATACTAATCAATAGCCAAATCACTGTGGATATGCAGCTGTCTTTAATCTGGATCTAAACTGGTTCCAGCAACTGCATAGCACTGGGCCTCATTAGCCACCTGGGGGGAGTGGAGGGGGCTTGACCTCTTGTTACGTCCATGCATTATGTAATCAAATAATGCATCCAAAGCTTTGAAAATATCATACTCATATGAACTTCACTTTCCCCCATACGTAAGCCAAACATAAGCAGTTTATAAAAAGCCCTAATTGTGTAAGTTGAGCATAATCTGTTTCAAACACTTCATAAAGAAAATGCTGATAAGTCACATCAACACACTAAATCTGCATAACCTTGTCCTTGTGGAGCAGTGGAGTCTTCAAAGTTGAAAACTGATCAAAACATTATTGTAAAAAACGAAATCTTTATGCAGTGATAAAACCAGCCCAGGTGTTCAAGCCTCGTAGTATGTATAACAAGATATTGGAGTTGTGATGAATTGTGAGTTATTATATCTGTGTAAGGTATAACATGATAGAATTAGTTAAGCATAGGAAACAGTGTAAAGAAATCACATGCAGTAGAAAATCCTCAGAAAAAATATTAGATTGAAAAAAACTCATTTTTAACTCTTACTGACAAAAATTTCAAATCCAAATGAAGAAAAATGTTTACTACAAGCAACAGGCGAGTAATAAATCCAATTAAGAATATACATGCAAAGTAAACAAAAACAAATAAATAAATAAATAAAACAAACAAACACATGCAAGTATGCCCCCCTGTTCCCAGACTGCCATCCTTGAAAGTGGTAACTAGTGACATCCCTGCTACTCTAGACAGTTCTAGGGTAAGTCTACAAGCACAGTAATATACGGATTGATAAACATCAGTGCATGTATGTGTGTATATGTAAATATACCTATACAAATACACAGACATGCTGTTGCAGCTCAGCACATTGACATAAGGGGAATAGTTCAGCTTTACAGATTTGTTCTGTTCCACTCCAATTTTGTGTTTTGTTCTGTTTACCCCGAGAGCCTTGTGGTGGAACTGGGTCAAGGTCACAATGACTTTTACCTTGACACATATTGAGGTCAATCGGACTGACCTTTTTTTTTTTTTTTTTTTGGCACAGTGTACTATCCTTGCAAGTGTTTTCCCTGCCCACATTAATATTTTTAAATTAGTAAAACTGAAATTGTAATCTACAGTTAAAAGAATGGAAATAAAGAAAGGACTATTTTTGTAAGTTATAAAAAGAAACGATGGTTAAATGGCTCTAAGAGAAGAAATAATAGAGAGAAAGGCAACAGATCATGCTCTGTAAAGAAAACCATATTCCACATCAATGTCAAGACTCAGCATTTGTTGGACTTTCCCACCACACCACAAACAACCAACAGTCTATATACTACATGGTAATGTTTGCACTGTGACCATTGTGCTGAAAGTCTACAACTACTGGTCATCCTAAAGACATCTAAAGTACTGAACAGAAATCTTCCTCAAAGTGCTGCCTTCCTTATTGCATTGGGTACAATCTTAGCATCAAACCACTCCAGAATTTAACTGAGACTTGTTTAAAATCAATAAGCAGAAGTGGAGTGAGGTTTATAGAATTAATATGTGAGACATACTAATATAAGCTTTGAATGTGGGATATGAATAAAGGAAGATGATGACAGTAAAGAGGTGGTTGCAGTGTTAATTATAGGAGATGATGGCATGTCATGGCAAGTCATGTGAAGTTCAAGTCCCTATGAAGTACCATGAACCACCATGGTGGTGCATCATGGTATTCCCAGGAAACTTGGATCTATACAAAGCCATAGAACNCAATGTCAAGACTCAGCAATTGTTGGACTTTCCCACCACACCGCAAACAACCAACAGTCTATATACTACATGGTACTGTTTGCACTGTGACCATTGTGCTGAAAGTCTACAATTGCTGGCCATCCTAAAGACATCTAAAGTACTGAACAGAAATCTTCCTCAAAGTGCTGCCTTCCTTATTGCATTGGGTACAATCTTAGCATCAAACCACTCCAGAATTTAACTGAGACTTGTTTAAAATCAATAAGCAGAAGTGGAGTGAGGTTTACAGAAATAATATGTGAGACATACTAATATAAGCTTTGAATGTGGGATATGAATAAAGGAAGATGACAGTAAAGAGGTGGTTGCAGTGTTAATTATAGGAGATGATGGCATGTCATGGCAAGTCATGTGAAGTTCAAGTCCCTATGAAGTACCATGAACCACCATGGTGGTGCATCATGGTATTCCCAGGAAACTTGGATCTATACAAAGCCATAGAACTGCAGAGCTGGTAGTGTTGGTAGAACTGCATACAACTAATGAAGAGTATGAAACACAATGTTTAAGTGGTGTGATCCTAGTAGTGCAAAATAAAGCATCCAAAGGAAAGATTCTGAACTGCTGCCAAAATAACACCTGGGTATATCATTTCATGCTTGATGTCAAAAATTGGTCATCACAGTGATTCAATTCTATATCAATATTCAAGGATCAGGTGCCAAGTGAGAAAACAAGTAACGAAATAGTTGTGAGTAAATTGCAATTGTTAAAAATTATTGCAAAAATTCAGGATAAGCACTGGATTTCATTTTTACAAAATATGGCATGTTTTAAATAGCAGGCTAAAATCCTTGATAAGTGGGACATCTGAAGATGGTTTGAGGAAAACCTTATGTAGTATGTATGTGATTGTATAACAACATGCATGTGAAAAGAGTAAGATGAGAAGGAATGACCAGTTAACAAGGAAGAAGATCCACTTCTATTCATGTAAAATACAACTGCTTCAACATTATAAAAAAAGCATTGTGACTATCCTGACATAAACTGTGTACTAAGCCATGCTTAAAAAGAAAGCAGCACTTTGATTGGTTTAAATCCCCTTGAAATCCTACCCTCACTGTCAGTGAACCAATGAATGCCACTATTACAGCTACAACATTGACAGTCAACTGGAATTGTAAGAATTTGGCGATACTGTCATAGACATTTCTGCCCCACATCACAGCCTTGACTATACTGGTAAAGTTGTCATCTGTAAGGATGATATCAGATGCTTCCTTAGCCACATCTGTTCCAGCAATACCCTACAAGACAAAAAAAACATAAGCTTATATGTCATTTAATAATGTGGTTTTAAAGTACTGCACAGAATATCATCAGTGAAACTTGGGGGAAATAATTTTTAATTTAGCAACTTGAAGCACCACATAGATAAAGCCCCACTAGTCCCACTAGTTAAAATTTCATCTATTATATCTGAGCTCTTTCGTGTAATTGTCTCTTATTTGATTTTAAACGCAGGCACACACAGAGCATCGTTTACCATAGCAAATCCAACATCTGCTTTTTTCAGTGCAGGTCCGTCGTTGGTACCGTCTCCCGTCACTGCCACCACCTCTCTATTGGCACTGAGTTTACTGTCAATGATGCCCTTGACTAGTACATACTTATCTGTTGGGGAAGACCTGGCCAAAACACGGAGTCTGGGCCAAATCTTGTCCAGGTTTTCTTGTACAACCTGGAAACAAACAAACAAAGCACTTATATAACTGAATGCTGCAGAGTTGTCTGTTACTGGATGCCAGTGCATTCTGGTAAGGAAAGTGTGAACAAAACTAAGAAAACGTGTTTTAAAACTCAAAATGCGGGACTCTGTTTCAAAAAAAAAAAAAAAAAAAAAAAAAAATCAGTTCCCTGGCTTAGTGATTTCCATGAGAATGCTGTAACACCGTTCTTGATAGGGTAAGATGCATACATGTGACCATGTAATGCTGGTAACCAAGTTCTTAGTTAGGGAAGCTGACTTAAGTTTCTTTTAAGAAACAGGGGCCAGGTCTATTGAGTGCTCACCTCATCATGATCATTCTTAACCTGCTTGTTGAAATCTCCTCCCTCCAGGACTAGGAAGTCATCACCAGGGTGGATGATTCCACACTTGGTTGCTATGGACCTGGCTGTGTTAATGTTGTCACCTGTCACCATACGCACCGTGATTCCGGCACGTTGACACTTCCGTATGGCCTCTGGAACCTGGGGATTTCATGCAAAATTTATAATCTGTTATAACATATTTACTTCACTGTTAATGAAATGTAATTTTCTATGATCTATACAAACGAGATTCAAATAATTATACAACAAAAATTTCTGGATTTCTGAATAAATCTGGAAGACATTGACCTCTCATTTATGCTTTGAGTGATGTCATGCTCAGAGTCAGTGACTCCTAACACTGACATTGAAGATTACCTCTGGTCTGACAGGATCCTCAATCCCAGTGATTGCAATCAAGGTCAATCCAGACACGATGCTGTCCTCGTCGTCCCAGTTAGGCTCCGAGTCAAAGTGGACCTCATTGGTGGCTGGGTTGTCTGGAATATGGAGGAGAGAGGTGGAGAGAAAGAGGACTTCATTTTGAACACAAAATCATATCTTGAGTTTTTAAATATCATTATCAGTCAAAGCAGATGGCACTGAACTGTTTATTTATTTATTTATGAATACAATTCTAAAAGTATTGTAAATCTGTGTGGCAAAACTACTGCACATACTTTTCTCAAATTGTTATCATAACTTTTGAGATAAAGGAAATTTAAGATAGTAGAGGCAGCACATTACAGTATGAAATGGACAAAATGGAAACAATACAGATCAACTGTTAACTGTTATGATAGGTAACCATGCTGTCACTCAGTACATTATCGCACACACCGAAGACTATAACTAACGTTTGACAAAGTCCTTATAAGCTATTCCTATAGTTCTCAAGCCGTCCATTGCCATTGGTTCAATCACTCTTTTAATCAAGTTATCTGCATCATGGGCAGAAAATGGTCGCACCCTGCCTCCAGCTCCAAGAATAAAAGTACATCTAACAGAAAAAAATAAAACACAAACCATGTAGGTTTATCTCATTTTTAAATCTAATGTCAAACTAGTGAAGACCTCCACCAAGGCAGCATCATGCTCATTATTATTTTACGACTTAATACACTAACTTTCAGTTAAGCTTTAAACCAACAAGGCTTCAAAGGCCATAGCATCACTTCCTTTGCGGAGTAAAAAAAGGTAATCTTATTGGTTGAAATCTACATCAGTACATATTGCCATTTATCTGTTAATGTACAACACTTGCAAAATATAAAATTATCTAATAGATTGCCTTCCTATACTACATCATTAAGCCCATATAAAAACCTACTGCAAGTTTATTTTAACTAAATAGCATCAAACTGACCTCCCTGTTACATACGTTTTTTACACTATGAAATTACAATTCACAATTCTTCCTTGAAAAGCAGTCCTACCTCCTCAGCACCATTTCTGAGGCTCCTTTATTGAAAAGTCTGAACCCGTGTTCCGTAGGGATGACCGTGCTCATGGACTTCCTCATGGAGTTGAATGTATACACTCTGTGGAATCTCTCTTCTGGGACTTCTTCTCGTATCGCCTGGTAGCTCTGGCCCAGATCCATCACAAACCCCAGCAGAGCACACTCTGTCTTGTTACCCAGCTGCTTCGGAAGGTCCTCTGTTGGAGATTTCTGGGGGGGAAATTAAGAAAAAACTCATTTAACCCGCTTAAAATATCATAAATGAAAAGTGTAGAATTTCATGACATGAACAAGAGGTACTAACTGCATTGTGGAATGGAAAACAAGACTACTTCAAAAACCAGAAGAATGTAGTGCTTTATTCATCTAAGAAATATTCAGAAATGTCCTTGTTCCATTTCTCAATAGGTTTTCCTTTCAGTTCATAATCTATAGCGTAACTTACAATAACCCTGGTACTGTAGCCACTGTTGATGGAGACACATCTGATCAGTAACTGTCCCGTCTGTGCTGGGAGGCTCTTGAACTCTGGAGTGCTCTTGTAATGCTGTTCTAAAAACACCAAATAGAAAACCTTATGTATATACTTTATTTCACAATCTGAATGCAATATTTCAGTTTTAAGAGAGGACTTTTATATTCTTTATGTTTTTTTCCCTTATCCTACTACGTATCTTTTTTCATTTCAATGACAACAAATTCAGCTTCCAAAGTGAAACCTCTCTTTGTAGGCATAAAAACATATTACATTCATTCAATTTAAAACCCTACCAAGTGACCAGAACATAGATTCATATTTTAATCAAATACATTGTTCAATCACCCAAGCTCTCCTTACCTCCAATATAACTCTGGACAACGGTCATTCTGTTGGTGGTCAGTGTTCCAGTTTTATCAGAGCAGATGGCAGTAGCGTTGCCCATGGTCTCACAGGCATCCAAGTGCCGCACTAAGTTGTTGTCGTGCATCATTTTCTATAAAATCATGAATACGAACTTAAGCTTCTTTTTAATGTGCACATATTTCAGTCGATACCATTGGTTTAACAGACTAAAATCTTGTTTCTAGGGAAGTTTTTGATATGCAGCCATTACCACACCATATCATACTGCATCATCAATATAAAACATACCACTTCAACCTAATATTATAATTTCATCAAAATTATTGCTCAGGTAAACTATCAGTGACCAGTCAAACCATAATAACAACCCTTCATGAAAGTTGAAAGAGCCGTCTAAACACTCACCCTGACAGAGTAGGCCAGAGCTAGTGTAACAGCCAGGGGCAGCCCCTCTGGGACAGCCACCACCAGCACTGTGACACCCAGGATGAAGTACTTGACAAAAAACTGCAAGTCTTTGGTGTTCCAGGCGCGGGCATTCTCCCCAGCGTACGTCTCTACACAGAACCTAACTATTAACACAATCACAACCAAAACTGCGATGATGGTACCTAGAAAACAAAAAAGACAGGTTAACATTAATTACTACAAAAAAAAAAAAAGTATGAATATAAAGTAAAAATTTTTTTCTTAAATAAAATCTTACATATATCAATGCAAACAGCACATTTTACTTTTAACTGCATGACAGAAAATACTGCTAAAACACGCATATTCTAAATGACACTGAATACCTAGATCAATTATACCATATCTATTCCACATACATAATTTAAATTCATTCACCTGGTTGTTATAACCTTTAATCAATATGTAATGATGTAAACTGTGCCCTGTCTAACTCACCAGCATAGCCAATCTGGATGGCCAGCTTGTTCAGTTTGGCCTGCAGCACGGACTTTTCCTTCCTGCCAAACCCTTGCCCCCCTCCCTCCTTCTTCTGTTGCTCTCCCTGCTCCCCCTCCTCTCCTGGGGGCGGGGCCTCCACGTCTCTGTCACCGTCAGCGTTAGCAGTGCCTGCCTTAAAGTGGGAGTTGCCTGTGCTGGCATTGGCTTCTACGTCTGTGTGGGGATTAAAAGATTTAAAAAAGAGTAAAAAATTATATACGTATACACTACAAAATAAAGATAACAATAAAAATGTCTATATATATTTAATATAGCACTAATTATTTAATTTCACAAGTAGAACCGCTTTGCCAATATACTCTTTTAGTAAATAATATTGTATTACATCAACTTATGTTTCAACATATACATACTTCTGAATACTTAACATACCACCTTCACTAAATTAAGGTTTAACTAAACCTCTATAAATACCACACAGAGCAACATCACCATATAGCCATGCAATACAACGTCCAATTCTACAAACACCATCAATATTATTCCATAAAATTTGGAGCATTTGTTCCTATGCTAGCACTATTAAAGTATGTGGACTAAGTCAAAATACCCAATACACTAAGCTTAAAGGCTGCTTCATAAGAACATAAACTAAAAGCTTCAGCAATAACAGCATCAACAAACACCATAAAAACAGCAATTTGGTATACTAACTTTTGATATTATCCAAGCGCTTGAGGCCAAAATTTTTTTTTAAAAAGATAGACCTTTAAAGCAGTCTATCATAATGGCATCAAACCTAGGTAAAAGTTCTATTCACAGTGGACCTACTCCCCACCACAAACCTACATGCTTTTCATACCCCATATTGCAGTAGCTATGTTGACCAAGTCCACATGATTTAGACTTGAAAAGGGGATTGTTTGGATCTCCAGCATGCTTCATCCCTTATCTAAATTATTATCATAATTGTATGATGATTAGAGAATACTATATCTAGTAAGTCAACCTTCCCAACCACATGGTAAAGTAGGCAACACATTTATGCCATATAGTGACCATATATTTTCTGTGAAGTTCGACTGTCCATGCTGCATTCAGGAATTAGTTTAAACCAATGTGGCAGCAGAGTGATTTTACACAGTACCTCCTCCCTCCCACCCGAAAATAGTGCAAATTTATGGTAAGGTATAGCGAAACCTATTTCAAATGCACTGAAGACGCGTTGAAAGGCTTGACAAATCAAAAGACATTGCATTCTGACACAGTTTCTAGCATTTCTGATACATAATAACTTCTGACAAACCAAACACCTAATAACCAATATTACCCCTAACAGACCCATATTGGCCATCCAGCAATGCAGCATGCGAGCAGTGCAATGGTCTCTAAATGGACTCAACACTAAGATACAATCAGTGTTAAACCCACACCCACTTTCCAAACACCTTGACCAAACCAACCGTTTCTTTTAAAGTTAATTTCAAATAAAATGAGCTTTAATCTCCAACCCTGATGTAGTGCATATTGGCAATTAATAAACTTAAGGCACTTGAACAATGTTTGCAACTGGTTTCAACTGACTTGCAGTTACCTACATGCACAGCTATAAATTGTATGTATGCATACTATACACATATATACTGTCAATCAGTTGAAACTTAACTCATATTTCTGAGATAGTCACAAAATACATCATGTATCATATAATATGAATTGTTCGATGTCATCATTGCCAACTACAATCAACCCTGAAAACCAGTTTGTGAAACTGCAAAGAGTGTGACACCAACAAAGCTTTCATACTTAGCTACATATCACAAACAAAGGGCCAGAATGAGAGTTCCCCAAACTTGGGAGCCACTATTTGTGTGCTATATGCGCCCATTATATATATAGTGCTCCTTAGAACCAAAAAATAACAATACCAACAGCCATGAAATCACAAAACAAAAACGTAAGATGCTTTAGTGTAAGAATAGATCTGGGAAAGGAAACCAGAGATTGGCTTCACAAAGGAACTCAAGTCAAACTGTGATCTCATATTAAAAAAAAAGGGGGGGGGGGGGGGGGCAGTCTTCTTTCACCTAAGAAGAATAATTAATTGTCTACTTAAAAATGAGGACAATGAATCTGGTACACAAACAGTATGAAATGACCAATGTTTTCTGGACAATTCCCATACGGTATCGCACTAGCGAGGGGTCTCTGACTAAATTGCATTCAGTTTAGGCATGTACGAAAGTTAATAACCCCTTGGCAGCTTCAGTGGGCATGACAGACCATTAAGCCCCTTAAACTGAATGCAATTCAGAGAGAATCCCCAAGAGTTAGATCTATCCTGCTATTACGACAGGTTTATGGGAACCCAGTCTAAGAGTGGTGGTTGGTCCATCTTAGTAGACTACCACTGTTTTGGAGTAGACTCAAATTTGTGGTCAAAAAATTTCAAAATCTGTTCCTTTGCAAAACTGTACCCAAATCTAGAGATAGGACAATGCTTCAAATGCTTTTTTTACTTTATGGGCATAGGCAAACTTCTTGTAATTTGGATATTCAAAGCGAAAACTGCAAATCAACTGAACACTTCAACAGCTGAAGATGTGAAATTATACGGAATAATGGAGCATTTGTACAGAATGACAAAAAAGTTCACAAGTAAGTGAAACAATGCACACATTTGTGTCATCGTATGGGTCATGTAAAAGCCAAGCAAAAAGTTTTTCTATCAGTGCATTTCACAAGCATTCTATATGTAAAAAGCCCAAAACAAGAACACGGACAAAAACTTAACATGGAAGAAACTGGTACATGTAGGAAGGTGGCAGTGACAATGTTCTATGTATTTTCTCTCTTTAAGTATCTATATATACATATATACAGCATCCAACTCAGGCCCATGTAACCTAAATGCAACCTTGTAAAATATCAGCCAGACAGAAACTTCTTTGCATATGGAGCCCTGTATTGTTTAAATCATTTAATATTCTTAGAATTATGTTTACTTACTAATTGCACTTCACACCAAAACCCCAAAATCAAAATAAAGTCTATAGTTACTGAATCCACACCTGTTTGAATTAAATAATTACTAAGTGTTGGTTTTTTGAAAACACTGCACCAAAGTAAATAATCGAATTTCCATTTATATTCCAATGCCAAGAAGTGTTCCCTTCAAAGGTCGGCCATATTTCCAAGGTGTTATCCTAGCTGTGCATGCCTTAGTAAACGTAGTAGACATTCACACAATTTCAGTCTAAAATATACTCTAAAACAACTAGTACCAATTGAAGAGTTAGGAGAACAACATCTATAAATTCCAAATTTCTAAATCAAAAATACACACTGATATTTTATATATCTTAAGATCTGAAGGGGTGAAATCAATAATAATATTCTATAATGTACTTTACAACATTTCTACAAAATCTATTACATACATATGTATATGTATATATAAATAGACAAATATATATCATCTATATAATACATAGAACAACGTCTTTTCATGCACAAAGCAAAAATTGCATTTTTCTTCTGGAGTAAAAACAGAAATTTAGGACAAAAAAAAAAAAAAAATCAACTACAAATGGCGACACCAGTGCTTGTGCAAAATTAGCTACAGATATAGTGCCTGGTGATCGTGTTTTTTTTTTCAATTTTTCTCAGCAGAGATAATCAGTTTGGTAATTACTACAAAAGGTAGGGAAATATTTTTTCCTACCAACTTTGCTTGAATAAATTAGCAAGACAACTTACAGAAAAGGTGCTTTCATTAGTTGACCCCACAATCAAGAGAATGCACCTTATCTGTCCAGGATCATCTTGCTCTTTTAAACTGGAGGCTGAATTATAACTACAAATGAAAGAGGGTACTGAAACAGGGTGGAAATGGTAAAACTGTGAATCTTTCTCTAAAAACTGCAAATCTGCTTTGTGCACGTGTGGTTGTTTAATTGCTGACAAGTCTCACTGATGACAAAGACACCCACCGCTTTTTTGATCATCACCAGACAATACTGGGGAAAGAAGAGAAAAAAGAAAAAAAATAACACATATGTCAAACTTATAATGTCGAGAGAAATAACAAGCGTGTGAACATTAACACGTGTGATCACATCACTAAAGATCTGTACAAATCAACAGTACTCAACTAATTTACATGTACTCATATCAACTTANAGTCTTCTTTCACCTAAGAAGAATAATTAATTGTCTACTTAAAAATGAGGACAATGAATCTGGTACACAAACAGTATGAAATGACCAATGTTTTCTGGACAATTCCCATACGGTATCGCACTAGCGAGGGGTCTCTGACTAAATTGCATTCAGTTTAGGCATGTACGAAAGTTAATAACCCCTTGGCAGCTTCAGTGGGCATGACAGACCATTAAGCCCCTTAAACTGAATGCAATTCAGAGAGAATCCCCAAGAGTTAGATCTATCCTGCTATTACGACAGGTTTATGGGAACCCAGTCTAAGAGTGGTGGTTGGTCCATCTTAGTAGACTACCACTGTTTTGGAGTAGACTCAAATTTGTGGTCAAAAAATTTCAAAATCTGTTCCTTTGCAAAACTGTACCCAAATCTAGAGATAGGACAATGCTTCAAATGCTTTTTTTACTTTATGGGCATAGGCAAACTTCTTGTAATTTGGATATTCAAAGCGAAAACTGCAAATCAACTGAACACTTCAACAGCTGAAGATGTGAAATTATACGGAATAATGGAGCATTTGTACAGAATGACAAAAAAGTTCGCAAGTAAGTGAAACAATGCACACATTTGTGTCATCGTATGGGTCATGTAAAAGCCAGGCAAAAAGTTTTTCTATCAGTGCATTTCACAAGCATTCTATATGTAAAAAGCCCAAAACAAGAACACGGACAAAAACTTAACATGGAAGAAACTGGTACATGTAGGAAGGTGGCAGTGACAATGTTCTATGTATTTTCTCTCTTTAAGTATCTATATATACATATATACAGCATCCAACTCAGGCCCATGTCACCTAAATGCAACCTTGTAAAATATCAGCCAGACAGAACTTCTTTGCATATGGAGCCCTGTATTTTCAAATCATTTAATATTCTTAGAATAATGTTACTAATTGCACTTCACACCAAAACCCCAAAATTAAAATAAAGTCTATAATTACTGACTCCACACCTGTTTGAATTAAATAATTACTTGAATTAAATAATTACTAAGTGTTGGTTTTTTTAAAACACTGCACCAAAGTAAATAATCGAATTTCCATTTATATTCCAATGCCAAGAAGTGTTCCCTTCAAAGGTCGGCCATATTTCAAAGGTATTATCCTAGCTGTGCATGCCTTAGTAAACATGGTAGACATTCACACAATTTCAGTCTAAAATATACTCTAAAACAACTAGTACCAATTGAAGAGTTAGGAGAACAACATCTATAAATCCCAAATTTCTAAATCAAAAATACACACTGATATTTTATATATCTTAAGATCTGAAGGGGTGAAATCAATAATAATATTCTATAATGTACTTTACAACATTTCTACAAAATCTATTACATACATATGTATATGTATATATAAATATACAAATATATATCATCTATATAATACATAGAACAACGTCTTTTCATGCACAAAGCAAAAATTGCATTTTTCTTCTGGAGTAAAAACAGAAATTTAGGACAAAAAAAAAAAAATCAACTACAAATGGCGACACCAGTGCTTGTGCAAAATTAGCTACAGATATAGTGCCTGGTGATCGTGTTTTTTTTTTTTTTTCAATTTTTCTCAGCAGAGATAATCAGTTTGGTAATTACTACAAAAGGTAGGGAAATATTTTTTCCTACCAACTTTGCTTGAATAAATTAGCAAGACAACTTACAGAAAAGGTGCTTTCATTAGTTGACCCCACAATCAAGAGAATGCACCTTATCTGTCCAGGATCATCTTGCTCTTTTAAACTGGAGGCTGAATTATAACTACAAATGAAAGAGGGTACTGAAACAGGGTGGAAATGGTAAAACTGTGAATCTTTCTCTAAAAACTGCAAATCTGCTTTGTGCATGTGTGGTTGTTTAATTGCTGACAAGTCTCACTAATGACAAAGACACCCACCGCTTTTTTGATCATCACCAGACAATACTGGGGAAAGAAGAGAAAAAAGAAAAAAAATAACACATATGTCAAACTTATAATGTCGAGAGAAATAACAAGCGTGTGAACATTAACACGTGTGATCACATCACTAAAGATCTGTACAAATCGACAGTACTCAACTAATTTACATGTACTCATATCAACTTACATTTACTACGACGCATACAATAAACGTCAAGCTAACATGTTTTGGTCACAAGGAGGGAGAAACACAGTCATGTGAATATGAACAGTAAATACAATAAAAATAATCTATAAATTGAATGTTTCAGTAATCACAAGTTACTGACAGAGCAAAACTGACTTCAATTTAGACCTAAAAATAACAAGTTAGGAAGAGTAAGGCTCAGCTACAATAATAATCAACTTAATTGAGGGTTTGAACAATCAGTGGCTTAGGCATAACCAAACAATTTAGAAGAGGCTAAGGTGAAAGAGCTGGGGGGAGGGGGGTATCAATATTCATATGATTAAGTTAGCTAATAAAAAATAAATATATATAGCATATGCTAACAGATCTCTGGCTAAAATGTAAACAGCAGTAACATTGAAACATGTTGTATATATTATCATGATAATGGCAATTTTTGAAAAATATACCTCGCCTTGGTTTCACAAAAAAAACTTAAGTCACTTCCCTGACTAAGGTTGTGTGGATGTGTCCATGAGAGTGCTATAACACTGTTCCTGATTGGGTGAGATGTGTGCATGTGACCCTGTAACCTTGGTAACAAAGATGTTAGCCACTGGAACTGACTTGAGTTTTTAAGTGAAGCTGGGGCCAGGACATCAAAATTAAGTATACCATGCATGCCAATATCCCACCACCAGGTTACAGTATCCAGCAGGGGTGGTTCACTTCAGTTCTAACCTGGACCTGGTCCCCATTTCATAAAAATCATTTAAGCTTTTTGAAAACAATTTAGTAGGTAAAATTATTTATGCCTTAACCTTATACTGATTTTTGACTTAAAGATGCATCTTAGGACACTTTTTTTGTTACAAAAGCTGACAAAATGCCACCATACTGTTTCGAATACTATAACTTAGGGAAATACCAAGGGACATCGTCTCATATTACCCAAAAATGATATTTTTCTGGTTGCTTTCTTCGCTTTATATAAATAGGTCAGATAAGTAGGTCAAATTTTAGACCCACAATTTAAAGAAGATGCAGTTTAAAGCTTTTTTTATGGCTGATCCGTGATTAATTTGGTTTATCTCTTGGCACATCGACTTTATTTGAGTCATATAAGAAATTAATGGAAGTGGTTTATATGTACTGGGAATCCAACACTCAGTTCAAATGTACTTTTAAGCTTATTGTGAAACATGCTGTTAATCTATGTGTTAAAGTGACCATGAGATAAAACTGACTGTCTGATGATTTTGGTGCCTGCAGACATCTAAACAAACCAACTGAATCAGATACAAAACACTTTTTATCTAAACACTTTTTATCTAAATGTGGTCACTGAACTAGTTTTTGATTTTTTTTTTTTAGTTTTAACCTTTTTAATTTTCACTCAATTTGTCTGTTTGGAAGGTAAACATAGAACAGGTCTAAGTTAAAACTGTTGTTAAAAGGATAATACATGCAAGGTGAAATTAATCCAATATAACTCAATGTCCTCTTAAATTTCCCCTTATTTCATACCAAATACATTCTCTGTCTTAATTGGTCATTGTGCAAAATTTTATTCCAATTCTTTCATTTGTTTTGGATGTTGCTGCTGTTTTTAATATTTCATTTTTACAATCTAACACTATGAACATTTAAAAAAAATCGGCATTCCATTGCCATGCTCTAGAACCTCTACAACATGCAGTAAGATGGAATGGACATAAGGGTAAATCAATGGGAAAAAAGAACTTTTATGGCTAATGGATTATGACTAGCGAATGGCTAATAAATGATTCTATAATTTTTTATCATTTTTGAAAATAATACTCTCCAGTTTGAAGTGGGCTCAATCAGTAACTGAGGTCATTATTTTATTCAATGGGAAATAAGCCAGTCTACTGTTCAAAACACATTTAAAACATATCACATCTATTTTTTAGAAACGCAAATGTAATAATCAATATTGTTTTATCAGAATAAATGTAATGGCAACTGTACAACTAATTGTGATTTTAGTGGGGAAATTTAAAAGAAAGAAGTCAAAGAGAAAGGGGGGCCAGCAATTTAATTCATTAATGAGTATTAAGAATAAGTTAATGGGACTAAACAGAAACATGGGAGCCAAATTAAAAAAACAAAACATTTAAGAATTTAGAAATGTAAACTTAAAGTTAGACAGTCAAACATTGCCGTGAAATTTCACCAGGATCTCAACATGACTATGTGCAAGCATTGCATCATTCATATAATCGAAAAAAAAGGGATCTTTTCACTTTACAAAAACTGAGATAAAAGGCATTACAAACACATAATCATGCTTGGATATGATTCTCTTGACAGATACAACTGTACTATCTACAAGTAGTAGCTATTAGTAATCTAAAGAATGTTATCAGACTTACATGGTACGTTATGAGGTGCTCCTGGGGATACAGACAGAAAAAAGAACAAACACATCAAGTCAAATAGTCAGAGAGAATACATCAAAAACTTCACAAGGCAAACACAGTATTTTCCATGTGAATTTGGTATCCTTGGATATTTTACGCAAATATATTGATCTATTTTCTTTTTATTATTCTAAGTAAAAACACAGAGAGCCTTATAAAAATTTGTACTTTACACCAAAATATATTTATATTTTGCTACTAAATGAAATATTAATGAAATCATAATTCCAATTTATACTTATAAACAATGAAATCATTATCTAAACTGCATGTTTCCATCTGTAGGCCTTAATTTTACTAATAATTATGTGTAGGCTAAAATACTCATAAGATTTTATGAAAACGAAGCAGAAGCCAACTTACAACTGGTTAACTTCATTGCAATTTACAAACCTTTTTTTTTTTTTTTTTAAGGACAAAACATTATTGAAAATAAAATTTCAGGTCTGTGCTTAAAGCAAAACTTTTGCTGGAAAAATTTCAAGATAAAAAAGAAATTAAGCAGTTGAAAGAAAGCCATTTTCTTTGGGAAAATACTCAATATGGCAACGAAAAGGTGAAACAGTACCATGGAAAAAACTACTGCTTTTCAAATAACAAAAATAAGATATTTGCAGCAACCACTGTTGTCCAAATAGGCTGAAGCTGCAATACTTTACGCATAAAATTGGCACCTTTTAAAAGGCAAAAATCTTTGAAATTTTACTATTTTATTAAAATATAGATCATTAAAAAAAATTATCCTTTCAAATGTAAGATAAATTTACAAATATTCTAAAAGAAAAAAAAAAAAACTGACATGTTTTGGTTAATTCTTAATTAGTATGGAAAAAGCCAAAAGCACAACTTGCTTCAGACAGGGTTTAAAATGTCAAGCTCATAAAAGGTCTGGGTGCACTCTCAAAGAACAACTGTGCCAGAAGTACAAAGCCACACACCAAGTGAGCCTTTTACAAATGTTCATAAAATTTAACTGAACATAAAATTTTTTCTTTCTTTTCTGAAAATCACTTCTCTTTACCTCTAAATATTATGAAGTGAAATTTTGCAAAGAAGAATTGATTAAAAGATCTGAAACGAAATTTCAGTTTCACCCCAAGTAAAAAGAAGCAAGCAAATTTGAGAAAAAAGAAATGTTTATAAAAAAAAATGAGATCTAGTCTTTAGGAACACTTTCCTTATATCTCTAACCCTGATAAAAAAGAAGCATACCTTGATCCCCATCCTTGTTTTTATTTTTCTTTTTATCCTTACTGTCCCCTTCATGGGTTGCCCCCAGTAGAGAGAAGATGATGCCAGCCTGGGAGGCAATGCCCACTGCTGTCACCAGCATCTTCCCACTGCCCTCCATCACATGAGTGCCTAGGAAAGAAAGAATGGGAAACAGAAATTAAGGAATGGTGCTACACATGTAGGCTGGGCTTAGATGTGGACAAAACTGAAGTTGCAAGGAGATAACTTATGTTTCAACAATGTGTTCTGCAGAGTTTGATGTCAATGCCTTATTACTTGAACTCATGGAAAATTAGTTAGGACTATTAATAATACTTATAAAAAACAATTATATAGTAATTAATTACTAATAAGACTTGTTGATGTAAGTCTCAGAGCAAATAAAACACCTAACACATTACAAATAATTTGTATTGATAGTAAGATTTAAGAGTGACTTTTTTTACGTGGTGATAGCTTACATTTTGCACACATAAAGGAAAACTTGCTTGATTTTATTAGTGAAAATTTTGTGTCCTTGATCCAGCAAAGTCATACTGATTTATTGACAATTTTAAAATATGATATGGGGAGTTTCTGGGAAGTTAGTAAATAAAATTTCCCAGAAGAATTCACAATCTCATCTTAAGGAAAATTGGTATAATTTAATCCTGATAAGAACATCAATAATAAAATCACACAAATTTTTGACAAGAAGGATCATCTTACAACAAAACTGTGCTGAATTCAATATGGTTTTCTCAGAGTTGTTCTAATACTTTAAATCATCATACTTAAGAAACTGCAGCAATTTCTTAATGATATATTCTGTTGAAAACCTTCCACATGGGGAAAGTCAGACATGATAAACATTCATTCCATTAAAAACATTCAATAAATCTACTTTAGAAGAGGTGCTTCATCAACTCCACAACGTTACTTTGCATCTACAGAGATTTTCAACTAATTCCTGTATGTGTATACAGGCATGCACGCGTACACAACTGTAAATCAACTTTACTGACAACACTGGTAATGTTTTGTGTGTATGCACGCGTACATAACTGAGTGTATAAATCAACTTTGCTGACAGCACTGGTAATGAAACAGAGAACCACGCAGATAATAAAATGCCCAGTTTTATCTCAACCAAGGATTATCACTATTCCCAAAATATGGTCTATGCTCATCTAATATGTGGTCACCAGGAAGCCCAATCACCACAGAACAGCATACTATAGTGTATGGTTTCACAGTTCATTAACATGCTTCATAATCAATATAATGGATAGAGGGATGGAAAAATCAATGGTTATCAGCATAACATGCCTGGATATAGCATCATTAGACATGAGTCAGACGTGCTCATTGAAAGAAAATCAAAATTTCTGGCCTGGTTGCCAGCAAGAGCTGTTGACTACTTAAAATGATGGACCGAGCTGTATGGACAATGTCTGTTGTGTTTTACATTGGTGTAACCATACTGATAACAAATAGCCCCCAAGTCTAACCACTAACACAGTGCAATGAGAATATAACCAATGTCCATTTGTCCACTATAGGTGAATTCAAATGTTTCAAAATGCTACAATTACTCAGCTGACTAAACTTAAGTTAACACCATAGTCAACTGGTGCTAATTTGGCTTACCTGAAGGTAATATCATTGCCACTGACACCAAGCTGGCTTACCTAAAGGTAATGCCATTGCCACAGGTGCCAAGCTGGCTTACCTGGAGGTAACACCTTACCCCATGGTGCCAAGCTGGCTTACCTGGAGGTAACACCTTACCCCATGGTGCCAAGCTGGCTTACCTGGAGGTAACACCTTACCCAATGGTGCCAAGCTGGCTTACCTGGAGGTAACACCTTACCCCATGGTGCCAAGTTGGCTTACCTGGAGATAACACCTTACCCCATGGTGCCAAGCTGGCTTACCTGGAGGTAACACCTTACCCTATGGTGCCAAGCTGGCTTACCTGGAGGTAACACCTTACCCAATGGTGCCAAGCTGGCTTACCTGAAGGTAACCTCTTACTCCATGGTGCCAAGCTGGCTTACCTGGAAGTAACACCTTACTCAATTTTGCCAAGCTGGCTTGCATGGGGGCAATGCCATAGCTACTGAAGTCCTGTAAGCTCACCTGAAAGTAACATTGGATCTCTTTCTTCTCCTTTTTTCACATGGTCAGACTCGCCTGTCAGGGAACTTTCATCCACCTTGAGGTCATTACTCTGGATGATGATACCGTCTGCTGGTAAGAGATCACCTGGAATGAAAACAACGCCAAAAATGACAGATCTGAAAATGGGTCAACAGACTGCAATAAGTAGATAATAAGCCTATATTTTAAGGAGTCCCCAACCCCTTGCAATGTGATTGGATTATATAAAAGGCAGGTTCTTATTTTAAACTGTTTTCTCTTCAACTTTTAAGATTAAATTCTATAGAAATTAGGGAATCAATATAAAATGGTAAATGTAATCAAATAAAATATAATGCCATACTAAGTCCTATTTGGCAACTAATGAAGGTTTAGTGTGCTGGACTGGAGCTAAGAACGAAAGTTGGACGAAAACAGTATCAACTCTTAGTACAAAATTTCAAACATCTTTGACATCTGCTTGACAAAAATGTTATTCATTTGTTCTCTCAATCTTCATACTTGTACGCATTTCATGCCAAGGACAGCTCTAAAATTGCTTACTGCACTGCCATATGGTTTCAGAACTCTGTAAAAATAGTCTTTATTGCAAAATGATTCTTTATTCATTCTGAATGGAAACTAAGTAACAAGTCTAAAAGGTCACAAAATAATGAACTGCCTGCTTTGGTTTATTTCATTTCTTTAGGTGTAAGGAACACTGGATATAAAATCAGAAAGTACATCATATGAACACATGACACCAGACTAACAAAATACAGTTTGGCCAGCATATTAACACACAATCCCAGTAATCATTTTTGACTTCTTGCCTTCAACACTGAATCAAACATTGTTTCACCTCAAATAACACTGAAATCTGAACTCCAAATCTATTGATTGGCTGTACAAGTGAATTCCACATGATTTTTATTGATGATGGAAGTAATGGATAAAAGCCCCAGCTTTCTGCAATAAGGGAATCCATACATCTCTCTGCCCTTTCAATGCTGTTAGTCTTCCATGGCTCTGCACTTCATGAGAGCACGCCGGCATGAAAGCAAGTTTCAAAAGTCGATAATAGAATAACTGGTTGAATTACCAAATATTCTATAAAGGGGTCTGAAACATCAGAGTGAGGGAACCAGCAGTCAATAATTTTCCCTAAGATGCTGCCTTTTTAAGGTCACAAAACAATTAAATGAAGAAACAAAAGATATTCTCTCTCTCTTTTTTTTTTTTTAATTTCAACCATAAAAAATATTTAGTTTTACAAGGCAATGCATTCTTGTTCTGAACATAAACAGAGTCCTTCTCTACAGTCACAGTGACTCTAAAGAATAAAACATGTACTACTTTGGGATGGCCAGACTTGTTCACTTTTTAAGTAATTTTCCCAATAACCTCATTGACTTACAACATCATTTTTCTAGCTTCAAACACTCCTTAGTCTTACCATATTTGACTTGACAAATGTCTCCAACTACCAGCTCTCCAACAGGGATGTTTGCGGCCTCACCATTTCTTATCACAGCAAACTTGTGCTCGCCTTCTATTTTGTTCTGCAGTCCGCGAAACTGCTTCTCTTTCCTCCAGTCATTGAAAGCAGTAACAAGGACCACTAAAATAACAGCAACTAAAATGGCCACAGCCTCTATCCAATTCGCCTCTGACTCTGAGCCTTCACCTGGAAAGACACTTCAATATTTGAAATGGGCCTGAAAATGTGTTAAACCTAAAAATAAATAAATAAATAAATAAATAAATAAATAAATAAATAAATAAATAAACAAATAAATAAAAATAAAGAACCCTACAAAAATTATGTTTCTGTACTCAGATTACAGTATTGAATGCACATGGACAGTCAAATTTCTTGTCATTATACAATGACATTTAATTTTTAAACAATCTTGTGAAATGCAAATTAATTAAAATTCTTACCAGTACATTTTTAAGAACTATTCCAAACTTAACCCATTTTGCAAAACAGGCCCTGGGTGCTGATCTGACAGACCCATTTACCAACCCCATTCTCATGTCAACATCTCTATTTCAAATCACACATTGAAACATTTTCACTCCTTTTCTTCCCCCATCTTACCCTCATCCTCTGGTCCATGGTAGAAGGAAAGGCCCAGTGATATCAATGCTGCCACAAGAAGGATGATGAGGGTGATGTCCTGAAGAGCCTCCCAAGCTAACTGAAGAAATGTCTTAGGGGGCTTAGGAGGGATAACATTGGTACCAAACACTTGGCGTCTGTGATCCAAATCTACTGGGGAACCATTTAAACCTGAAACAATGATATAAAACTGGGATGTGAATTGAAATTGCATTATTGGAAGATGCATTGTAGACATTAATGGTGCTTATATGTCCATTTCGTACACTGTCTTACATTAGTTTTTTTTAACGCAAACACCTTTATATTGGCTATTTATTGCATGATTTCAGTCCTAGAAGATTTTGGATTATATTAATTTCTATATATGCATAATTACTAATTCTGCAAGCTGGACATTATATAATATTATTTGAGTTACAGCAAGGTCATGCCCTTGAATATTTTTAATAAGTGCATGTGGTCCAATGCGTTCACAGTGGCCTTTAGTTCATAAAACCCCCTTTACGCTGGGCAGCATCCTTTCTGTGTCCTGTAATACAGCACCGTAACAAAAAAAAAAAAAAAAAAAAAAAAAGAAAAAAAAAAATTACATGCCGACAAGTGGCCGATCATAGAGCATTCATTCTGCAATAATATTGATGCTTGTGCCATCTTTCTACGACCACAGCAATGCCAGTTTCACTGTCGTACAAAGGACGCAGAAAGGATGCCATCCAGTGTAAAGGGGGTTTAAAGAACAATTGCTGCCCTTCTTTTTGGTTGTATCACATATACCAAACTACAAAAAAAAGTTAGTTCATCAAAAAGGAACCATATGCCACTGAAATGGTGCATTCCACCTCCTTTCTAAAAAATAAACAGGTTGTCCTCAGATGTAAACTTTTGTACCATCAATTTCTACAGCCCCCCCCTCCCCCGACATTTTGCTTTTTTCTGTAAGAGCCAAAAGACAGCAGTTTTCAAAATAGCAGTGGATTATTAATGTGAGTATAGGGAGGAATATATTTCATATCCTTTCAGAATACATTGGCTTCCTAATCATGATCTATTTCCCCTGTGATAACCATTGATTTTGCCAAAATGCAGTTGATAACCATTTCCACTGGCTTGAAGCCTCCTTATGCAGTCTGAGCACACATGGATGAATGCCATATCACCACTCCGAGTTCAACAGATACTTAGATGACTTGTCTTTTTGTTAACCACTGTCTTTAATCTGGGATTATCAAACACACTGGTTTGAACATTCCAATCACTTTTACACCCTTGACAGAGTCTTAAGGTCTTAAGGGCCATNATTCATAAGATTTTATGAAAACGAAGCAGAAGCCAACTTACAACTGGTTAACTTCATTGCAATTTACAAACCTTTTTTTTTTTTTTTTTTAAGGACAAAACATTATTGAAAATAAAATTTCAGGTCTGTGCTTAAAGCAAAACTTTTGCTGGAAAAATTTCAAGATAAAAAAGAAATTAAGCAGTTGAAAGAAAGCCATTTTCTTTGGGAAAATACTCAATATGGCAACGAAAAGGTGAAACAGTACCATGGAAAAAACTACTGCTTTTCAAATAACAAAAATAAGATATTTGCAGCAACCACTGTTGTCCAAATAGGCTGAAGCTGCAATACTTTACACATAAAATTGGCACCTTTTAAAAGGCAAAAATCTTTGAAATTTTACTATTTTATTAAAATATAGATCATTAAAAAAAATTATCCTTTCAAATGTAAGATAAATTTACAAATATTCTAAAAGAAAAAAAAAAAAAAACTGACATGTTTTGGTTAATTCTTAATTAGTATGGAAAAAGCCAAAAGCACAACTTGCTTCAGACAGGGTTTAAAATGTCAAGCTCATAAAAGGTCTGGGTGCACTCTCAAAGAACAACTGTGCCAGAAGTACAAAGCCACACACCAAGTGAGCCTTTTACAAATGTTCATAAAATTTAACTGAACATAAAATTTTTTGTTTTTCTTTTATGAAAATCACTTCTCTTTACCTCTAAATATTATGAAGTAAAATTTTGCAAAAAGAATTGATAAAAAGGTCTGAAACGAAATTTCAGTTTCACCCCAAGTAAAAAGAAGCAAGCAAATTTGAGAAAACCCTGATAAAAAAGAAGCATACCTTGATCCCCATCCTTGTTTTTATTTTTCTTTTTATCCTTACTGTCCCCTTCATGGGTTGCCCCCAGTAGAGAGAAGATGATGCCAGCCTGGGAGGCAATGCCCACTGCTGTCACCAGCATCTTCCCACTGCCCTCCATCACATGAGTGCCTAGGAAAGAAAGAATGGGAAACAGAAATTAAGGAATGGTGCTACACATGTAGGCTGGGCTTAGATGCGGACAAAACTGAAGTTGCAAGGAGATAAATTATGTTTCAACAATGTGTTCTGCAGAGTTTGATGTCAATGCCTTATTACTTGAACTCATGGAAAATTAGTTAGGACTATTAATAATACTTATAAAAAACAATTATATAGTAATTAATTACTAATAAGACTTGTTGATGTAAGTCTCAGAGCAAATAAAACACCTATCACATTACAAATCATTTGTATTGATAGTAAGATTTAAGAGTGACTTTTTTTACGTGGTGATAGCTTACATTTTGCACACATAAAGGAAAACTTGCTTGATTTTATTAGTGAAAATTTTGTGTCCTTGATCCAACAAAGTCATACTGATTTATTGACAATTTTAAAATATGATATGGGAAGTTTCTGGGAAGTTAGTAAATAAAATTTCCCAGAAGAATTCACAATCTCATCTTAAGGAAAATTGGTATAATTTAATCCTGATAAGAACATCAATAATAAAATCACACAAATTTTTGACAAGAAGGATCATCTTACAACAAAACTGTGCTGAATTCAATATGGTTTTCTCAGAGTTGTTCTAATACTTTAAATCATCATACTTAAGAAACTGCAGCAATTTCTTAATGATATATTCTGTTGAAAACCTTCCACATGGGGAAAGTCAGACATGATAAACATTCATTCCATTAAAAACATTCAATAAATCTACTTTAGAAGAGGTGCTTCATCAATTCCACAACGTTACTTTGCATCTATAGAGATTTTCAACTAATTCCTGTATGTGTATACAGGCATGCACGCGTACACAACTGTAAATCAACTTTACTGACAACACTGGTAATAAAACAGAGAACCACGCAGACAATAAAATGCCCAATTTTATCTCAACCAAGGATTATCACTATTCCCAAAATATGGTCTATGCTCATCCAATATGTGGTCACCAGGAAGCCCAATCACCACAGAACAGCATACTATAGTGTATGGTTTCACAGTTCATTAACATGCTTCATAATCAATATCATGGATAGAGGGATGGAAAAATCAATGGTTATCAGCATAACTTGCCTGGATATAGCATCATTAGACATGAGTCAGACGTGCTCATTGAAAGAAAATCAAAATTTCTGGCCTGGTTGCCAGCAAGAGCTGTTGACTACTTAAAATGATGGGCTGAGCTGTATGGACAGTGTTTGGTGTGTTTTACATTGATGTAACCATACTGATAACAAATAGCCCCCAAGTCTAACCACTAAAACAGTGCAATGAGAATATAACCAATGTCCATTTGTCCACTATAGGTGAATTCAAATGTTTCAAAATGCTACAATTACTCAGCTGACTAAACTTAAGTTAACACCATAGTCAACTGGTGCTAAGTTGGCTTACATGGAGGTAATACCATTGCCACTGACACCAAGCTGGCTTACCTAAAGGTAATGCCATTGCCACAGGTGCCAAGCTGGCTTACCTGGAGGTAACACCTTATTCCATGGTGCCAAGCTGGCTTACCTGGAAGTAACACCTTACCCAATGGTGCCAAGCTGGCTTACCTGAAGGTAACACCTTATTCCATGGTGCCAAGCTGGCTTACCTGGAAGTAACACCTTACTCCATGGTGCCAAGCTGGCTTACCTGGAAGTAACACCTTACTCAATTTTGCCAAGCTGGCTTGCATGGGGGCAATGCCATAGCTACTGAAGTCCTGTAAGCTCACCTGAAAGTAACATTGGATCTCTTTCTTCTCCTTTTTTCACATGGTCAGACTCGCCTGTCAGGGAACTTTCATCCACCTTGAGGTCATTACTCTGGATGATGATACCGTCTGCTGGTAAGAGATCACCTGGAATGAAAACAACGCCAAAAATGACAGATTAGAAAATGGGTCAACAGACTGCAATAAGTAGATAATAAGTCTATATTTTAAGGAGTCCCAAACCCCTTGCAATGTGATTGGATTATATAAAAGGCAGGTTCTTATTTTAAACTGTTTTCTCTTCAACTTTTAAGATTAAATTCTATAGAAATTAGGGAATCAATATAAAATGGTTAATGTAATCAAATAAAATATAATGCCATACTAAGTCTTATTTGGCAACTAATGAAGGTTTAGTGTGCTGGACTGGAGCTAAGAACGAAAGTTGGAAGAAAACAGTATCAACTCTTAGTACAAAATTTCAAACATCTTTGACATCTGCTTGACAAAAATGTTATTCATTTGTTCTCTCAATCTTCATACTTGTACGCATTTCATGCCAAGGACAGCTCTACAATTGCTTACTGCACTGCCATATGGTTTCAGAACTCTGTAAAAATAGTCTTTATTGCAAAATGATTCTTTATTCATTCTGAATGGAAACCAAGTAACAAGTCTAAAAGGTCACAAAATAATGAACTGCCTGCTTTGGTTAATTTCATTTCTTTAGGTGTAAGGAACACTGGATATAAAATCAGAAAGTACATCATATGAACACACGACACCAGACTAACAAAATACAGTTTGGCCAACATATTAACACACAATCCCAGTAATCATTTTTGACTTCTTGCCTTCAACACTGAATCAAACATTGTTTCACCTCAAATAACACTGAAATCTGAACTCCAAATCTATTGATTGGCCGTACAAGTGAATTCCACATGATTTTTATTGATGATGGAAGTAATGGATAAAAGCCCCAGCTTTCTGCAATAAGGGAATCCATACATCTCTCTGCCCTTTCAATGCTGTTAGTCTTCCATGGCTCTGCACTTCATGAGAGCACGCCGGCATGAAAGCAAGTTTCAAAAGTCGATAATAGAATAACTGGTTGAATTACCAAATATTCTATAAAGGGGTCTGAAACATCAGAGTGAGGGAACCAGCAGTCAATAATTTTCCCTAAGAGACTTAACTGATGCTGCCTTTCTAAGGTCACAAAACAATTAAATGAAGAAACAAAAGATATTCTCTCTCTCTTTTTTTTTTTAATTTCAACCATAAAAAATATATAGTTTTACAAGGCAATGCATTCTTGAAGCCTCCCTCTTCTCCCTTACATGCTACAAGTGGCATACAAAGTATGTTGAACCACTCAAAAAATCATCATGCTCTGAACATAAACAGAGTCCTTCTCTACAGTCACAGTGACTCTAAAGAATAAAACATGTACTACTTTGGGATGGCCAGACTTGTTCACTTTTTAAGTAATTTTCCCAATAACCTCATTGACTTACAACATCATTTTTCTAACTTCAAACACTCCTTAGTCTTACCATATTTGACTTGACAAATGTCTCCAACTACCAGCTCTCCAACAGGGATGTTTGCGGCCTCACCATTTCTTATCACAGCAAACTTGTGCTCGCCTTCTATTTTGTTCTGCAGTCCGCGAAACTGCTTCTCTTTCCTCCAGTCATTGAAAGCAGTAACAAGGACCACTAAAATAACAGCAACTAAAATGGCCACAGCCTCTATCCAATTCGCCTCTGACTCTGAGCCTTCACCTGGAAAGACACTTCAATATTTGAAATGGGCCTGAAAATGTGTTAAACCTTAAAAAAAAGAAAAAAAAAACCTGCAAAAATTATGTTTCTGTACTCAGATTACAGTATTGAATGCACATGGACAGTCAAATTTCTTGTCATTATACAATGACATTTAATTTTTAAACAATCCTTGTTAAATGCAAATAAAATTCTTACCAGTACATTTTTAAGAACTATTCCAAACTTAACCCATTTTGCAAAACAGGCCCTGGGCACTGACCTGACAGACCCATTTACCAACCCCATTCTAATGTCAACATATCTATTTCAAATCAAACACATTGAAACATTTTCACTCCTTTTCTTCTCCCATCTTACCCTCATCCTCTGGTCCATGGTAGAAGGAAAGGCCCAGTGATATCAATGCTGCCACAAGAAGGATGATGAGGGTGATGTCCTGAAGAGCCTCCCAAGCTAACTGAAGAAATGTCTTAGGGGGCTTAGGAGGGATAACATTGGTACCAAACACTTGGCGTCTGTGATCCAAATCTACTGGGGAACCATTTAAACCTGAAACAATGATATAAAACTGGGATGTGAATTGTAATTGCATTATTGGAAGATACACTGTAGACATTAATGGTGCTAATATGTCCATTTTGTACATTGTCTTACATTAGGTTTTTTGAACGCAAACACCTTTATATTGGTATATTATATCACAGTGGTCTTTAGTTTATAAAGCCCCCTTAACGCTGGGCAGCATCCTTTCTGTGTCCTGTAGTGCAGCCCTGTTACCAAAAAAAAAAAAAAAAAAAAAAAAAAAAAATTATATGTTGACAAGTGGCTGATCATTGAGCATTCATTCTGCATGCATAGCAATGCTTGCACCTTCTTTCCATGACCACAGCAATGCCAGTTTCATGGTTGTACAAAGGATGCAGAAAGGACATCGTCCAGTGTAAAGGGGGTCTAAAGAACAATTGCTGCCCTTCCTTTTGGTTGTATCACATATATCAAACTATAAAGAAAGAAATATTCGACAAGTCTTTTGATCCAGTTAGTTCATCAAGAAGGAACCATATGCCACTGAAATGGTGCACTCCACTTCCTTTCTATAAAATAAACAGGTTGTCCTCAGATATAAACTTTTGTACCATCAATTTCTACAGCTTCCCCCCCCCCCCCCACCTCCCCAGACATTTTGCTTTTTTCTGTAAGAGCCAAAAGACAGCAGTTTTCAAAATAGCAGTGGATTATTAATGTGAGTATAGGGAGGAATATATTTCATATCCTTTCAGAATACATTGGCTTCCTAATCATGATCTATTTCCCCTGTGATAACCATTGATTTTGCCAAAATGCAGTTGATAACCATTTCCACTGGCTTGAAGCCTCCTTATGCAGTCTGAGCACACATGGATGAATGCCATATCACCACTCCGAGTTCAACAGATACTTAAATGACTTGTCTTTTCGTTAACCACTGTCTTTAATCTGGGATTATCAAACACACTGGTTTGAACATTCCAATCACTTTTACACCCTTGACAGAGTCTTAAGGTCTTAAGGGCCACGGGCAAATATAGGCCAACTTACAAAGAAACAGAAAAAAGCCAGTGAAACTCAGGGTACATATGATACCAAAACTCCTGGGAACATTCTGGATAAATCAATGAACTGAGTAGGTGGAGGCTGAGATTAATGTTACTTTGTAACACAATTAATACAATCCATTAAGTCTAAAATGCTAACTGGATATGGTTTGTACCACTGGGGGACACTTTGGTGATCATCACTTCTGTTAGAACTGCAGTTCCACAAAGTCAACAGCAGTCATTTTAAAAAATGTATTACTTTTCACTACATTATGAAAATTGAGAAAGAAAAGGATACAAAAATAAGAATGGAGGAAGATAATGTGATCATGATTTTTTAAGTTTTTTTTTTCACCCCAGATACAAGATTCCATTGAGCTGTCAATTTTCTTTCCATTTGAAGTCACAAGCTACAATTGCACACGACATCAGTGGCAAGACAGCTAGACAGAGATTAAATGAAGCACTTTACTGTGTCATTCAGTGTTGTGCACAGAAATAAGCTACCAATCTGTCATATTTCTCAAAACACATCATTTTTCTCGGAACCTGCAAATACCTGGAATTTCATCACTTAAGGTGATGAAATCTCAATGGGTAATTCACTCAGCAATTGCACAATACTGTATTCAAAGTAGCGTGTTTAGGCATACTCTGCTTCATGCCCAGATATAAGAACACTACATAAACACCACGGAACATGTCTACCTTGATGATTGCCTCATAACTTGCTGATAAATCATTTCACAATCACGTTTTTCGCATAGGACGATTAAACAATCCTTTTAAATCAGTCAAAATTATCGTGAGACTGTAAAAAGCACCTTAAGGGGAATATCAGGAAACTGCATGACGGCAAGGAATCTGTGGTTTTCCTTAATAGGAAATTGTTTTATAGAGCACATCTCAACTGCCTTGACAACAATGAACAATTTCAGGAAATAAGGCTTTTTCCTCCCAAACCCAAATAACATCACCTTTTTGCTCTTATCAACTGTGGTTGAAGGTTTTCAGTCTTTACTGCTAGATACATTATACTTCCAGTTCATACAAAAATTCACAATTTCAGAGAAACTGACTTTCAGGTTTAAAATTTTTATTTATTAACTAAGGTAAAGCTCCCTAAAAAAAAAAAAAAAAAAAAAAAAAAAAAACCAAAGTATCACGGGAAATGGTGAATAAGGTTTACAATGAAATTCCTGAGACAAAATGAGCAAAGGGACAACAGTGAAACTAGGGTAATAAAACACATTTCTGTCATGAAACCAGCCTCAAGAAAAGTAGTTCACTTTTCAACTAATGTGCAAACCAAATTATGCTTAGATTTGGTATTCATTCATATTCCTTCATTTCCTATGGCTAAAATCTTTAATCTGAATCTACCAAAGGTATTTGCTAACATTTAGGCTAAAATAATTCTGCTGCAGAAGCAATCAGTCCCTGCGATGGCAATTTCCAATACTAGTGGTTATTTAACAGATAACATCAGGGAGAAAAATTCTTTTAACTTAATTCACAAACTCTCTGCTGATGTGCATGGGTAGCTAATGGTGTTTGTAGTTATTAGCTATAATGAAACTATCTTGCAGAAAGGGGTTTGTGAACTTTCTGCATTTCAAAAATTTTGGATAACTGCTGGATAAGTGAGAACTACTTTTTAAGAAAACACACACACACACACACACACACAAATAATAATAATAAAAAGTTAAGTTCACTTCTAAGACACATGGACATTTTGGGCCCTGGTGTGATCTGGGTGTTGACACTCTGATCTCCCTGGGGAGGATACAGCCTAGCATGCCGTATGAGGCGGTGAAAGCTAGCCAACGAACAATATCTTTCTCTGCCAGACCAGGAACTTTACCCCTGCTTCAACCCTTTTAAGTGCTGAGTGGCAAGCAGGAGACAGCAGGTACAGTTTGTGAAGGACTGATATTTTCCCAGCAGGGTTGAACCAATGCACTCCCACACCAGAGAAGGTCATTCTGACAACAAAGCCATCCAGCCAGTACAAAATGTATGAGACAATCTGCATCACTATGACATGTTATAGGCCTGTAGCCAAAGGAACGCTTATCTTTTTTTCTGAAAAAAATAATAAAAAAGTAGATCTTATCCCCCTCCCCATAATAACCTATTTAGAAAAATTCCACAAAACCTACTATAGATCAAAACTTCAACTTAAAACAGACCATCTATGACCATATGGTTGGTTCTTTCACTGCCCCCCCCCCCCCCTCCCCCACGCCCCTCCCCAGTTGTTTATCTCATCTCTTCTGAGAAGTATTTCAACATCCATGTTATGCACATTGGTATAGCAACCAAGTAAGAAATTGTTTCCATGACTAATCAGCACCTTGTTCAACATGACATCACTGCCAATCTTATAACATCTAGTTTTCCCTTTGATGTGAAGAGCCACCTGAGGTGCTGTTCTAGATTTAAGATGTACTTCAATTAGAACAAATTGTTGCAAATCTATAAAAAAATTATGAGATAACCATTAAATCAAGAGACGGTGCACATCTTTTTATTAATTAGATCCAGGTGAAATGTTTTTCTTTTGACTTTCTCGCATTCTTTCATTTTTTTTCTTTTAGACAGTCGGGGTTGAAGGAGATTTGATAAATTCTCATGGAAATTTGATGTATAGGGTACCTTACTACACAGAATCGTGGAACAAAACATGGGTTGGTCAATGATAAACCTCATGGTGCAGGGAACACATTTAATCTAATATTTCTGCCTTTTTAAAAGAAGTGGCGACACCTGAAAACATGTATGTGAAACTTTAGCATTTTCAACTAATTGTCAAATATTGGCTAAATGTCACAGTTCATTTTTCATCATACACGTGTTAGGGCAGTAATGCCACTTGCGCCATTTTTTTCGGACAGATGATATTGTGTCTTACAGACCATTGGTCTATTCCCTAAGTCAGGCTTATAACCTTGTGATCATTTGTAAGAATAATAATAAAATCAAACTTGAAAATAAGATAAAAACATATTGACCATGATGATGGAGATTATGGGATTTGTGCATATGGTTTTCAAAGAAGGTCAAGACTGGAACAAGACAGTATCATGAGGTCTGTTGTGCAGTACTACTGCTAAACGCCCAACCTTGTGAACAGGTCATCTTCAGAACATGTCATGTCCACTGTTGCTGCTTTGTCTAACTGTATAACACCCAAGACTACCAGGGTTGGCCTCAGCCAGTCTTTATTTTTTCTTTTTCTGGTCTTTTTTCTATAACATTTGTTTTTCTGAACTTCTATGTTTCACTTAAAAGTACGAGAGGACTGGTCATTTTGAGCAATTAGATGTGATCAGAGTGATTTTTTCCTCATCAAAAAGTGCCACTGGTCTACACAATATCATCATTATCTTAGACCCAGCATTATGGTTTGATGAGATTCCAGCTAAACACTTCCTGGCCAGTAGACATTAGAGCAGTTTATCTGTGGCAGCAGACACAGAGATGTCTAGGCCCTCGGATACCCTTTCATAATCCAGATTAGATGCTGGTAATGGGAATATTTTAAACCCAGCGGCTTTTCTTCTAAATGAAAGCCAGTGTGTGTTCTCAGAATTCCTAGAAACATTGTACAGAACTGGCTTATTAAGTGCATGCTTAACAGAGTGTTCATTAAAAACACACAGAGTGTTAAATAGTTAAGTGTGAAACACATTTTCTGAAACTGTACAGATAAATGTACTTTAACAGCCACATTTCTGCAACAGTCCTTTGCCATTCTTACATATATGCAGACAAACATATTCAATGGCATTAAAATATACCTGATGATACTAAATGCAGTCAGAGTCTCTGCACAAAGTAATATAATCACTTCCCATCTCCAATACTGTGTAAATGCATTTGAAGCACAAATATTTATTTCTGGGAACATTCCTTTGTGAACACCTTCTAGGTTACCCAACATCCTCAAGTTATACAAATGCTGAGGGCAGGAGTGAAGGACATCAGCAGTTTACTTAAATAGCATACAGCCAAATGCTTGCTGTATATTACCAAACCAATGAAATTATCCATTATTCAGAGAACCTACAGGTAAAACAAACAAACCCAATGGCATGATCTTTAGATGTTAGCCAATGATGCCCTTTTTACCTGTGCTGGGCTTAATAAACTCTATGAAAGAAAACAGTGAGGCACTGATTTAACCCTCAGGTAAACCATGTCTTAGGTTTTGTAAACCCTCATCACCACTTTTCCCATAAAAAATCTTCACGAAGCATTTTAAGTTGTGGCCTTGTACCAATTTCTTTATGAAAGAAAGAACATAAACTTTAAGTAATTTTTTTCAAAATGTCAACAATCAGCAACATTCTGTGGCAAAGTGCTAACATCATGCACCAAATGAGAGATTAGGGATGTTTCCAAAGAATTTGAAACATCCGAAAGAAACCTTAAGCTAGAATCAATAATGAGCTAACTTTTCAAGTTACAAAATAATTTTCTAGTGAGTGACAAATGGCTGCATTAAACATAAGCCCAGCTCAAGATAACTGAACTTTGTCTTTCAAATTTTTAGAGAAATTATTTGAAATGTTTGACCATTTAACCTTGAAACAGCCAGTCTACCAAAAAAGAGCTTACCTTCATTTGGATTAGTATACAATCTTTTACAAAGCTCTGCTACACTGCCATAGCGTTCCTTGATTGCATTGACGGCCTCATGGCCACGCACAGCCATCAACTGACTGAGCTCCTTGGCGGAGCAGCCATAGTTGGCCGGGTGACCGAGGCGAGCATCTACCTCATCCATGTTCACTGCTTGGTCAGGCTGTCCGGTACATTCAGTTGGCCCAACCTTATTCTCTCTAGAAAATAATATAGTAAAGTTAATCCAATACTGGTTTAGCATATACAGTGTCTACCAAAATTTCTTACCCTTTTCTCCCTGGAAAAATTTGGAGGGAAATCAATATCGTTTAGTGAAATAAATTGTATTAGTGGTAGTTTTTGTAACAAAATTGAAACAATGGGCAACAAATGGAACAAAACTGATAACAACCGAATTTACAAAGGAAAGAACAAAGACAAACACTGAAGAAACAACAGATCAACAGATTGTAAGTATTATTATCCATGAAGAAAACAATTCTTGGTAGCTGCAATCTGTAAAACCAAAAGCTGCTTATCAGTGACCCGGTACAACAACATAAGGCTTAAGTTATCAATATGGATCTTAAAGATAAGATCACACATTCATCAGTCAGACATTATTTTTTTTTTTTAATCAGCATATGTTCATGGTGAAAATATTCCAAACCCAACTTGTTGCTTTTTTAACCAAACTTGACCATAGAATACAGTGTTGCTATCATATAATGTGCATCATGTTATACACATGTAATCAGAGGCTTGATACAGTGGGAAAAAAACAAAGGTTATCATCAACATCAGATATTTATAACCCATTAATATATCACAAGAAACAAACTGCCGATTCAAGCAGTCACTGCCAAATAAATGGCTTCACCCCTATCCAAGCAACAGTTAACAATTCGGTGACCCTGGTTACTTGTGTGTAACTGACCAAGCTACCATCATCTAATCACATGGTAATTTAAGGGGTATTCCATTCATACTATACAGCACACACATATATACAGAAAACTATGATCAGTTCGATGTCCTATATAGGTTGGACATCACTTGAGACATGTAGACATGTTGGGTTTTACAATTCGAGGTTAAATCACCAGCATGTCACAGATGGTCTATGCAAATTTAACTGTCAGTGGACAGTGCATATTAGTTCAACTTCATATGGCACACACTTCTAACATATATATTATTTGCATAATTTTGACTTGCCCAATTATCTTTGTACACCTGAATATGGCAAAAAAATCAACAGTAATCCTGATTCAATAATGATATAAAACAGTTGTGCAAATATTAAACAAAAAAAGTTAACTTTTGTGTGGAAACACCCTGAAGACAATCATCTTGATACCACGCAGATGTATACAAACTATTCACAGAGCCACATATATTGTACCTCACAGCTAGAATGTTGGAACAAATTATGTCAAAATAAAATTTAACATCCCTCTTTTCAGAGACATCAGCAAGGAATATTTAAACTTTGTACATATATATTAAATAAACATTATATAATACCCGCCGTCAGTTTTGAAGGCAGCAAGCTCCAACACAGCATTACAATACACCAGTATTAGAAATCCCACTGCAGTAGCATTATCCAAATGGTATTAAGACTAGGAAAGCTATCAAGCTACCTAGAATTTAATCAGTGCTAGGAAGTCAGGTCTCAGGGGGCCCACCTGTAGATTGAGTCCACCATACCATCAGCCAGTTACATACAGTACTATCTGTCATCTGGCAAGCCTGGGGCTTTAATTCTCTACCTAGCTGGGATAATTCACCCCAAGAATCAGGGATTACTGGAAACTTGCCTCTGCCATCTTAAGTACAAGAGTTGTCAGTAATCTTTGAAATTCAGGGTGGAATAAAAGGATGGGTAGAAATTGTTTCTTTATAGCACTTGATTTACACACACACATGTATCCATTACCCTAGGTTCTAGATTACGGTATTGTCAGCTCTATCTTGATTTCATATATAACCCATATCAGCAATACCGGCTCTAGCGAACAGCGGCCATGTTACACTTCTGTCAATCAAATAGAACTGCTCCGCAGTGAATCTGCAGTTGAATCTCATCAGACCAAAATGAAACGTAAAACAGATTTAATTCTGCTTTATTTAATTTTATTTGCTGTATTTAAGATTTAAAGTGAAAAAATAAATAATATTCTTCGAAAAGAAAAGATATATCCAATGTTTTTGTATTTTTTGCTAATCAAAGAACATTTAGTCCTGAGATATACACGTGCACAATACACGTGCTTGCCGTGTGCCAAATTTGACAGCTACACTGTATGCCTGATACCACTATAAGGGCTGCGCAATGGCTACACCGAAATCAGTTTTTAAAGCAGAATGTTGCTTGTATTGTGGCACTGACCTTCGAATGCAAGATATTTTCAATTCAAACTTCTAACTCCGCGTCAGGCATCTTGTCTCGTCTGCACAAGATAACTTCAGCGCAAGGCGGGAAAGGCAGATCCAGGCGGCTAAACCTGTGATGTACGAGACTTATGACTTCCAAATATGGATCCAGACGGACACAGCTGTGACGTGTGACTTCCAAATATGGAAGTGCCCCAGGCAAAATTTTGAAGAAGAACGCCCTCAGATTGTCGCTGTTCGTCAGAGCTAGTAAAAGCGACTCCATCACAAGGTATATTTAACAAGCTAGCTTTTACGTTGCTCTTACACTCATCCATGGATGCATACAAACATTTTTGCGTTTCTCTCATGATGGATATAGCGACTGGTATATTTCACTCATAATGGTAAAAAACAGAAATTAAGAACCTGAAAATTGGTCAATATATATATCCATAATGACATATTGTAATTTTCTTGACGGTTTAGTAAAGGATATCACTCCGCAATTAAGGGGAAAATGTTGGAATTTTCAGGAAAAAATGCTCTTTTTGCAATAAAAAGATCTTACACATATTGTTTTCTTTAAAAAAATTATAGAAGCAACAGTAAATACCAAGAATTATGAAGCAGAAAACAAAAGTAAGCCCTTATGTGATGCATTACTTAGCAGATACATGCAAGCCTGTGCTGCACGCATGTATATTCTGCACAACTGATCACAATAACAATGCTCCAGGCATGTAAATAGAGATTTTACACAAAATGGTGAAAAGAAAAAAAATTGCATGCTGTACAATACCTCTAAGATTTTCACACTTTTCCAAAAAGAAAACAACCCACTTTCTTCATTACCGATGCCAGTAACACAACATGCATATTATTTTTTCTCCGAGAACTGTCCTTGCTACCATCCGCCCACCCAAAAGGGCATTTTCTCTTTGATGTATTTTCCAAGGCATCGCTTCCTTGAAAATGTCATTGCTCATCAAAGACTAGGCATGCACTAAATATAATGATTTGTCAGTTAACAATCTCCTTCAGTCGGGCAATGCTAACAATCCAGTCGTTTCAGAATTGCTATCTATTCTTCCTCTTCGGGATAATAATCATCAAACAGAGCTAATTCTAAATCAATCAGTGAGACAACGGGTATACTTATTGCCTCCACTGATGTTTTGTAATGTCAGCCATAAGGAGCACTAAGTACAGTATACTTACCTGTTATGACATACAGAAAATATCGCTTTATATACTTTCTATCCCAATTCTGCTTGTAAAAAAATAATGACGGGTAAATATTTCAAACTCATCACTTTATAACATAAGTTAATATGCATTTAATATCAAAA